GCATTGTAGAGCACATAATCCTTTAAACGTACAGGAGGTTGAATTTGACGCTTGCCTTGACGTGGAGGAGGCGTAATTTCACCATGAGAACTTGAAGTATCTACTTCGGACTGCGAGTTGCTAGCCGGTGTCAAGACTGCAACAGAGGAATCATCACCAGCGACTACAGATTTTGTCGGAACTGAACTTGTTTCCGGCGGAGAAGACGGGTCGGAGACTGAGTTGGCTGCGGGAGCCGGTGTGGATATGGAGACCGGTGCAGGAATTGGTTCAGGAGCAGAAACCGTATCAACAATAGAAACCGGTGTAGAACCACTACCCGTGGTGGTTTCCGGCGTACTCCCCCTGCTAGTGGAAACCATCCAATCTTCATCACAAATAACCGGAGATGGAGACAAGGATGCGGGACTAGGAGTAGGATATGCATATGGAAAAATGGTTTCCCGAAAGACAACATCTCGTGAAATTAGAAACTCATTCTTTTCAATATCGAACACCTTCCAACCTTTTTGTGCAAATGGATACCCTACAAAAATACACAAGCGACTTCTTTCTCCAAATTTGTCTTTATCTCGAGAGAGATGATGAACATAACAGGCTGATCCGAAAACCCTCAACTGATCATAATTGGGCTTGGAATCATGAAGAATTTCGTAGGGAGAAAGACCTTTGTGAAGTGATGACGGAGTGCGATTAATCAAGTAGGCAGCAGTTAACACCGCTTCTCCCCAGAATTTAATAGGTAGGCTGGCTTGGAATAAGAGTGCCCGAGCAACGTTGAGAATATGCCTATGCTTACGCTCAACGCGACCATTTTGCTAAGGTGTGCCAACGCACGAAGTTTGGTGAATGATTCCATGTTCTCGAAAGTACGATAAGAGACACATAAATTCAGTCCCGTTATCACTACGAACCGTTTTAACTGACTTGCCAAATTGCTTCTCCGTGTAAGCAAAAAAATTAGTAAGCACCGTACGTACTTCAGACTTTGCAAGGAGAAGATAAGTCCAAACAGCTCTTGAAAAATCATCAACTATTGTCAAAAAATAAACCGCACCACAAGACGACGGGACACGGTATGGACCCCAAACATCACAATGAATCAAAGAGAAACACTCGGTTGATTTATTAATACTAAGAGGAAAAACTTCTCTTGTTTGTTTAGCTCTAAAACACACGTCACATGAATGAGAGCCGACTGAAGAAGAAGATTTTGAAAACACCGGTAAAGAAGAAAGTACTATAAAACTAGGATGTCCTAAACGCTGATGCCACAAGACTTGATCGGAAGAGACAGTGGCGGTATGAATTTTTGCTGTAGCGACGTCCGTAAGATAATAAACCCCCTCACGCTCTTCACCGCTTCCAATCAAAGGCCTCGAAAAATGGTCCTGTAGAACACAAATTGTGTCAGTAAAGGTAGCAACACACTTTGTTTGTTTCACAATTTTAGAGACGGATAATAAGGTGCAAGTTAATGTTGGGACATAAAGAACATTAGTCAATGCAACATTGGTAGAAAGCGGAAACACGCCCATATGTGAGGCAAACGTGTTGCTTCCATCCGCAAAACCCACCGAACATGGTGGTATAACGACAATGTCCGTCAATAAAGAGAGCTTCCCGGTCATATGATGTGAGGCTCCGGTGTCAAGAATAACATTGCCAAAGTGTGTCTTACCAGAGAGTTTATCTGCAGTCCCGTTGTTTGATTGTCCTTTGAGCATTTGAGCAAGAGCTTGTATTTGGTCGGGTGTGAATTCCGGGAGATTGGTGGGATTAGGGCTGGTTGCGTGAGCTGTCATAGCTTGTCCACGACCGCGTCCTGAACTCCGTCCTCCTCTGCCTCTATTATTCGACCCTCGGCCTCCACTTCTCTCGGACCACCAATCCGGAAAGCCAACAATACTCCAACACTCCTTTTTCTCATGCCCGGTACGACCACAATGAGAGCATGAAACGCGACCCTTGATGATAGAATCTGGTCTAATGTTGGTGTTGTCGGATTGATTAAAAGACATGTCAGGGCGAGAGAATTGGTCATGTTGCTCACGACGAGCCAAGAAGCCAACTGCTTCCTCTTTTTGTTCACGTAATCGGACCGAAGATAGCCTCTGAGGATATACTAAACTCCGCGAAACTTCCGCTATAATTTACCTTGTAATCTGGGTGACCGTACTCTTCTCTGTCAGGTGTCCAAAAGGGATAATAAAGATATGTTTGATTGCCACATCTAAACATAGGAGTGCAGTGCATCAGAAGTTCATCAACTGATAAAACACAAGAAAGGGTCACAAATATGATTGTATATGAAAACAGAGATAAAGAAAGATTGATCATGGTGGTTTAATTTCCTCTGTTTTTTTGTGGAATTTAAAAACTAAGAAGATGATGAATAAAAGAAGAATGATAATCTTTTACTAACTCAACTAAGAAGTTCGTAATGGTGTTTGTCCAGTTCAAGATAATAGTAGAAATTTTTTTTTCTTACTAGATTAAACAAAATAGAAGTCAAGCAAGAGCCTAAACAACAAAATAAAAGTCAAAGAGTGTCATCAATATATGACCTAAAAATACTGGAAATGAGAAGGATTGAGCAAATTAATTCTTTTTGGCAACAGAACCTTTTGCAAAACTTCACAACACCCCAACAATTCACTGTCTACTATCCATTAATAATGAGAAGACTTTGTCATATTTTGAGACTAAGTCATTTACCTATCATACCACATGCATATAATGATAAAAAGACATCATTAAAATCATTGAAGAGAAATAACAACTTAAGTGATCTAAGTGCAATATTTAAAAACAAAGTAATAGCTTATACCAGCTCTTGGTGAACTTGCATGAATGATTTTTGCCCTGATACGTGTTTGTGGACTCCAAGACCATTACGATCACTGTTTCTGGACTGTGATGCATTTTCACTCGGCTCAATTGCTTCCTCAGTTTTCCAATAAGCACACATCAGCGCCCACAGGTCATTACTGGTAATCCAATAGGGTTGTACACCAGTTTTCTTCGGTTGACTAACAATTCCTTTAAGCCTTTTCTTGGCGATGACCAAGAATCCTTCTCTGACTAGCTCGGTAATCCCGATATCCCAATTGAACTTCCCCTACACAGATTAGTATGAATTAGTATGACTTATACTAATTCATTTCAACATATACTATTAAGCATTCAAAGGAATATCAAACATTACCGCAAATGATCTGAAATATCGCTCTTGAATGGCTGTAGGAGTCACTTTCCAACTATAGTAAGGTCCATCAAACTTTCTCCGAAATATTCCAGCAATACTCCTAGACAGTACTCCTTTGTCTCTGCCAAACCTATAATATCAAAACAAATTATCAAGCTAGAACAGACACTTAATAAGACAAAACAGACACTTAGTAAGACAAAACAGACACTTAATAAGAATGTAACAAGTGATCAAAACAGATAATCAAGCTAGAACATTAACCTAATCAATGTAAGACAGTTTAGATAACCAAACAAACACTTATTGTATCAAAACAGACACTTAATAAGAATCTATCAAGTGATCAAAACAAATAATCATGGAATTTCACCTTGGGTTCTATGGAAGTTCGAATCCACCCAACAATCATGGAATTGACTGTCTTCCAGTTTTCATAGTTAGGATCATTAGCAGGTGGTTTCGGTATCGATCCATTAATGAACCCTGTCTTTCGTTTTGCTTGAAGAGCGTTTAACATCTCTGTTGCCCACTCGTTGTAGTTGTCGCCGTTTAACGAGACCGTCGAGATGAGAGCCCCGGGATTGTCGGAGTTTGCTAAGAGATATGGAGACACCACCGGTGCGTCCGGTTGTTTAGCAGCCTGCCGAGTAGCGGAGGAGCCATCGTCAATCGTGGACATGATGACTTGTTATTGAAAGAAAAGAAACTTTGAACAACACACAATCGAAACTATCGATTGTTCTTTGAAGGAGAATCGAAACTATCGATTAACCTAGGGTTTTTTTAGAGATTTTAGCTCTGATACCATGTAGATTTAGATATCGAACTGACTTACTTTATTAAATCGTGATACAATGACTTATATAGAGAACATCTCTAGGGTTTACATAAACTTACAATGACTTGAACGACAAGTAACAGGCCTAAACATACGGCCCAAACTCTATCTATAATAGTCCCCAATATTCAACCAATGCAATTTCGATTTCTGCTTCAAGTATTTCTCTTCTAAACCAGCCACGTGATCCCACTTAATGTATGCTTCATGCTATTCTTGCATAGCGCTTTGAGAAGGATTAGTCATATTCTGCTCTTGCTTCTGACATAGAGTTTCATATGCCTTTTTAGTCTTTTTCACCAAGTTTCCTATTCTCTCCTTTGCCAAGTCCCTAAGCATCGGCTTCATTCCTTTTAGTTTCTTTGAAAAACGAAACAAAGAGGAGGTAGACAAATAGATGGGCTCTGTTCCTTTCCAGTAACTATCAACCATTGGTTTAAATTGCTCCATTTCAGTTAGAACGTTGATAAATTTGAAAGGTTTTCTGCCCCTTACCACAGCACCCGCGCCTAAGTTAAGGTTTATTCTGCATCGTAAGTGATCGGAGCAGCCTCCATCTTCAAAGACACTATACGACTGCGGATAAGTCTGTAACCAAGCATCATTAGTCATAACCCTGTCCAGCTTCTTTGCAATTAAATCATTTTCTCTCTTATTTGACCATGTAAAAAGTGGACCGTGATGAGCTAAATCTGAGATGGTGCAGTAGTTGACAGCCGCTTGAAAATCTCTCATCCCACCTGTTAATACCGGATTATCCTCTGAGTTTGAGTGCTCTTCCAAATCCAAAATCTCATTGAAATCCCCAAAAATTATCCATGGTTTACCTCTCATGATAGGAGAGTCAAAATGAACCCTCAAATCATTCCATAACTCCTTTCTTTCCTCCATGAAATTTGAAGCATAAACAAAAGAACAGAAGAACTCTGTTTCTTGATTTTCTAACTTCACTTCTGCATAACTATACTGTTTCATTTCTACTAGCCCTTTAAGGTTATGGTGTCTTGGATGATGTGAAGTTCCTCTCTTTCCGATGCCTAGATACGAACAAAAACACAAAAACACAAAAACCTGTAAGATTATGCTATTCTCGAGGTATATTCTATTGAAATTAGCGTCATACCTATTTTTGATTTCTTGGAGAGACCTGCGTGAACATGTACCATGAGGAAAATATCAGTTCAATCTCAAGACAGAATTTAGAATTGTACTTGAAACAAAACTTGAAACGCAAGGAAATTTCTGAAGAAGGGAAAATATATATGGTTTCTTATACAAGTATTCAGACAAAGATAAATATTCAAATGAAATTAGGTCAGAATGAGAAAACATTACTCTTCTTTTTCTTTCCAGAAGTGCAAGTATGCTCATGAGGTTCATCTGTACAATAGCAGACGATGCTCTTGAACTCTTATTAAAGCCACAAGCACCGTCTGACGCTACCCATTGGGAGCAATCACTGTTAAAGCTAAGTCCGAAACCCTTATCAAGAACCTTCTTTATAGCCTCAAGACTCTGATTTCTCTCTGAGGTCTTCATTGCGGATCGAGAGACAGGAACATCGACGTTTCTTTCACATGATGCACTTTACCCATCTAAGATAGCTCTATTCCCAGAATATGAAGAGGAAGAGACAAAGTAACTTTGAACACCAGTATCATCCTTACACTCAAGTTGTCTAATATAACCACTAGGAAGAACATCTACCCTTGAACCAGAACAGTTGTAATAAAAAGTTGACAACTCAGTGTCGGAAGAAAATGTAAGAAGTTGTTGGTTGATTGTTGCCTTTCTCAGGTTCTTGTGGACAAAGATTGTTGTTGAGATAATCAATTCTAGCAAGTCTTATTATACGAGACTCATAGTTCATCTCAAGGATTCTGAACCTAACCGAGGATATACTAAACTCCGCGAAACTTCCGCTACAATTTACCTTGTAATCTGGGTGACCGCACTCTTCTCTGTCAGGTGTCCAAAAGGGATAATAAAGATATGTTTGATTGCCACATCTAAACATAGGAGTGCAGTGCATCAGAAGTTCATCAACTGATAAAACACAAGAAAGGGTCACAAATATGATTGTATATGAAAACAGAGATAAAGAAAGATTGATCATGGTGGTTTAATTTCCTCTGTTTTTTTGTGGAATTTAAAAACTAAGAAGATGATGAATAAAAGAAGAATGATAATCTTTTACTAACTCAACTAAGAAGTTCGTAATGGTGTTTGTCCAGTTCAAGATAATAGTAGAAATTTTTTTTTCTTACTAGATTAAACAAAATAGAAGTCAAGCAAGAGCCTAAACAACAAAATAAAAGTCAAAGAGTGTCATCAATATATGACCTAAAAATACTGGAAATGAGAAGGATTGAGCAAATTAATTCTTTTTGGCAACAGAACCTTTTGCACAACTTCACAACACCCCAACAATTCACTGTCTACTATCCATTGATAATGAGAAGACTTTGTCATATTTTGAGACTAAGTCATTTACCTATCATACCACATGCATATACTAGTATCTCTAATATCTAAAATACTTGACCCAATCCTAGATATTAAAAATATATAATATCGGACCAAAATGTACTTGTTTATCTTTAAACCGAGTCATATATATAAATAGATTTGAGTTAACCGGTCTCGAACAAGCTCCATTAACCGGAAATCGAATTTGTTAAGGATAAACCGGACTATGTTATCCAATCAAATCCAACTAAAGAATACCTAAATATTCACTCAAAAATATTTTATCGCTAGTGGCTACCAGGCAGAGTTGCGCATAATGATTTTACACTCGAAAGCCTAGGGACGTGAAATCTTCCAAACCAAACCCTAGATCCAGTAGAATGCTCGGCAGGTAAGTGCAGACATTTAGTCATATTTTGAGACCTATTCTTTTTTTTTTTCTTTCTTAAAAAGACAAATATCTAAGGGTATTTGCAAGATATGTACTCAGAAGACCAAAAAATTAACTGACACATATTGTCACTGTTCGGTCGTTACTGTAGCCGTAATGTGGACTCTTTTACCCCTAATCATTTAGCAAATGCAATTCATGACTAGAAGAAAAAAAAAAAAAAACAAAAGTTTTAACTTATCATCTTTCTCTTGATTTGCTGTTTAACTTTTTCTTTAATAATCCATCTCTTTCATTTTCTGTCCTCGAGAACCAAATTCGGATAATTTCTCAACGGAAGATTGTTTGTAACAAAGAGTTGTCGTTAGAGTTCTTATTAATTTGTAATTTGCAAAACTAAATTGATTCCAGCGATGAACTAGGATGCTGAGATTGCTCAACAAACGGATTCGATTCAGGATCTTAAGGTAAGTCCGTGAGATATTGTTGTTGATTCAAGCGGGGATGGTCATGAAGCCATTGACGATGATGATGATGACGCTGCAACTTCTTCACATATGGAGCTCGATTCAGCGGTTACAAATGATGATGGTGATGTTAGGGTTTATGAGAGTGAGAGATCGGAGTAAAATAGTGTCGTAGGGAGTGAGGAAGAAGATGATATGAGTTACATGTCCTAAATAATTTGTTAACTGGATTTTTATGAGGTTTATTAAGCAAAAGAGGGAAATTGGTATCATTGACAGCAACACCATGGTCTATTTTTCTGGGTTCGATTTCGTTATATGGGTAACAATATAATTAGCAACACATACAAAAATGAAAACTTAGAAGTTAAACGTGATAACTAAATTATCATTATAAATAAGTATGCTAATATAAAAGTTATCGGTAATAATTGAATTATTAGAGTAAATAAACAGGTTAATATATAAGTTAGTTGATACCAATCACATTTTACCATGTTCATACAAATATTATTCAGATATTTAATATGTTAGCATGTTATCATTCTATATTAACATATAATTTGTAACTTATCGTGATACTACATTATTTAGCATGTGTCATCCGTATATTATTGTGTCAAAATAAACATTGTCGCCGCATATTTTCTTTTTTTAGTCAGTGGCATTTTTGTAATTAATCCAAAAAGAAAGGATAGTTTTGGTTTACATAATCTTTCTCTTTCCTACTTACCTAATTTTCAAATTACGGCAGATTTAAATCTAGTTTTTGGGTCAATTGTCGTTTTATATTAATATAGCCCAATATCTAACCAGTTTTGCCACAAATTACCCATCATCGGACATGAAGATACATGTACTATCCAGCTAAATACTAATATCTCTATTAGCTAAGATACTTGACCCAATCCTAGATAGTAATAAAACCTCCCAACTAAAGATAAATCTTAAAAAATCCCTTCAATTTATATATTTATTAAAAAATCTTTCAAGTTTAAATCTGCTAATGTAAAACCCCCTTTGTCTATAGTGTCATCAACATTGAACGGTTACTATTAAAATAAAAAGCTGCATTTTGAACAAAAAAAAACGAGATGCTTTTTTTTTTCAACGACATGTTTTTCATTAAACGAGGATTTTGACGGATCCAAAATTTTCTTTAGAAATCCAAGTGTACTTCAAACCTATTAGAACATGAAAATTTCCTAAAGCCAATATTACTAGCCAAGTGAAACATCAAAATCAAACTTGTTGAAACATCAAAATCCAGAAAAACATAACAGTAGCAGGAAGTTCTATATTCTGTTATGGTAATTTTGGTGTTTATTATTAGAAAAATAAACTAGTGATGGTAATTTTGGAACAAAAATTTAAAATGTGGTGTTTTAGAATATTTCTCAATATTAAATAAATTACTACAACATGTACATTATTTAAAAGCTACATTCCATTCTAAAGAAAATGATATTATCAAAATTTTAATTAATATGAGAATCATATATATCTTAAGTTTAGAGTAAAGTAACTTAATTTTAACTTTTTATTTTAAATGATTAAAAAATTAGTATAATCTATGAGATAAGATTTTAAAATAATGATATGCATACAGTAAAACCTCTATAAATTAAAAATCTTTCTAAATTAATAAATTTTTCCGGTCCGGAGTTATGACCAGTGTAAAATATGACATAAATCGATAAATTATTAAGATAATAATTTTTTTAAAAAATCCCATGTAAACATATGGTCCCATTTACATTATAAATTAATTATTGTATAAATTTATCAATTTATATATATCATATATGAATTACTATGATATATATTTAAAATATGATATGTAAAAAAATTAATGAAATATGACTCTATTAATCGAAAAAAGTTTATGTTATTTTTTAAACTTAATAATTGCTTCTCTACTTGCAATTGGTTTTAAAAAGATATTTCTTATAAAGAAAAAAAATTAGATATAAATTTTTTAAGAAACTATAAAATTAGTAAAATTTCTCTATAAATTAATACCTCTCTAAATTAATAAAATTTCATAGTCTCAACATTATTAATTTATAGAGGTTTAAATCTAATGAAATTAAATAATAATATATTTTTTTTGTTAAAAGACAAACAATGATTTTAGGATAAAGTGAAAGAAAACCCATGTCACAAGGAGAGATTTCACGTGTTAGATTGTTAGAGTATAAATTTGAAGAGAACCTTACTTTAATGTATAATATAGGTTTTTGAAAATAATGATATACATAACTAAATCTAATCAAATTAAATAATAATATTTTTTTTTGTTAAAAACGTAAATAATGACTTAAGGATCAAAAGAAAGAAGACAACTATATATATTGGACCAAACTACACCAAACCTAGATACTTACTTGTTCATCTTTAACCGAGTTAGAGTGCTCGGCAGGTAAGCGCAACATGGATACGCCAAACGATTTGATGAAAGAAGAGAAGAGACGAAAAGTGTCTGAAAATCACGATTGGTCCAAACTTTATCCTGATCTTTTACGGTCGATACTCGAAAGCTTGAACTCTATTGATTTTCACCGAGCAAAAACTGTTTGCTCAGATTGGTATTCAATTTGGAAAACATGCGTGAAGCGTCCTCTTTGTCCATGGCGGATCATATACGTAAAATATTCTTTGATGTTGTTCAATCCCCGAGAAGACAAGATCTACGAAGGAACAAACGTTGGACTCTCCAAAGACAGCTATTTTATGGCTGGCTCCGGGAATTGGCTCTTGATGGTAGATTCTCATCTCGATTTTTACATTTTTAACCTGTTAACGTACAAAAGAATCGATCTTCCATCTATGGAGTCTTCAATTCGCGGTGGGAATGTGAGATTCGAGCGAAACCGCGAGCATGGATTCAGCGAGTGGGGACACTTTGTTGATCCATGTCGTAAGGATTGTGTGAGGAAAGACATCATCATATGCCGAAGATCAGCTGTTTTATGGATAGATGAGAAAACAGGAGATTATGTGGTTGCTTGGATTTTCAATTATCATTACTTATTCTCATACAAGAAAGGAGATGATTCGTGGTGGAACTGGAATAACCATTTGAGTATGGAAAGCCTAAATTTCAGTTTTTTGGACTTGGCTTATAGAAACAGCAAGCTTTATCTCTATACCACTAATGGTCACATCAAAATTGTTGATTTCTCTGGAAATGATCCCATAGAAGTAATCGGAAAAAACCCATATTGGGAACATCCGTTTCGATACTTTTCAAAAAAAGGGGAATACAATTGCAAAAAGAAAATAGTCATTCAGAAATCAGGAGACGTTTTGATTATCTTGAGTGCATTAGTGATGAGATCGAAGGACAAAATTTTGTTTTACATCTTTAAGATGAACCCTGAGAGTAACATATGGGAAAGAGTAGAATCTATTGGAGATGATGAGATGTTGATCTTTGGTCATGGGGTTACAATAAGAGCACCCGTTCACGATGTTGGTGATGATGGAATCAAGAGTGGTTCAATCTGTTTCGTTAGAAATGACATATGGCCAACATATTATTGTTCTGTTTCAAATTGTGGTGTCTTCGATCTTGCCACAAGTACAATCAAATGGCCTAAGGAAGTATGTTTTAATAATCAGTGGTTTGTTCCAGGATTTGCTTAGTCTTTTGGTTAACATGTTTTCTTCACTAATTAGTATTGGCTTCTACAATTATTTATTTGATATCATTTTTTTATATAAAATAATTCTTCCATGCCTCTTTGTTTTTTGATTTTGTAAAATTTTGGATTCTTAAAGTACAAAAATCTAAAAACTAATCATCGTGTATGCATAAATCTTAATGAACACCACCACATGTAAACAATAAGGGATGCCAAAGTTATAGGCTCAATGTTCAAAACACGTAGTACTCACATTGGGCCTTTAACATAGTACTCACATTGAAGCCAAACTTAAAGGCTCAATCTTAATGAAACGTGGTAGACCAGAGACACTCTTCTACTCTCATCGTCGTCGTCTCTCACCAAATTCTTTAACTCTATCTCTGCGAGTCATCTGAATTTCAGACCACAAAGCCATTCTCTCTTCTTAGTGTCCTCAGAAACATGATCAAAACATGATCTGCAATGTTATTCTTCAGAGCAAAAAAAATTGAAAGAGGCTGAAGATCTTACCACAACTGAAGTCTGACCGTTCTATCTGCAAGGTACATTGTGTTTGATAGAAAATCGATACCAATTGCATGGCCTATGATTATGAAGCAACATAAGATAATGAGAAAAGCAAGAAAATATTGTACAATGATGATATGAAAGCATGGTTGACGTATTATTAGAAGCTTAAACGCAATTCTCATTTTCACAAAAGAAGATCATATGCTTTCAATCATCAATTGAGAACAAATTCGATTAGATAAACAATGATAACAAGATCAAAGAAACATCCTCATATTAGTGTAACTACGAAAGTGAGTGATTAAAAAAGCAAAAATCGCAAACAATGATTACATTCAGTTGATTGTCATGTCCTATACATTGACTAAACATGATCTACAAATCAGATCACACGTAATTACGTACAATTGAACGCGAGATCACAAAAACGAATTAGAACTTCGTACTGAAAAACACGATTCCCGTCCATGAAAACGGATCTCAAAATCGATCAAACACTGGGATTTCCAGGACTACAATCTCCCAAAATAAAAGCAAACGTCCTGCAGCGTCGAGATAATACCTAGATTGGAACGATGAAATTTACCTGATAAGTATTGTCGAATATGTCGTACATGAGCCGAGTGATGATACTGGTATTGCCGACGGTTTGATCTCCCAAAAACACCAGTTTATACTTAGCGAGTGCTCTTGGTTAGACTTAAATTTATCGTCGACGTGAGTGTAATATGAATGGCAGAAACAGTGACTTCATTTTTTTTTGTATGTCCAACTAATTCAACAAAGTTTGAAACTTTAAGTCCCTGCGCAACTCAATTACATGGAAATTC